TATGAATAACTACTCAAGAGTCAGAATTAAGGAGACAAAACATTTAAAATGCAGTTTTCCATCCCTTAGTATAACTAAAGAAGATTCAACCTTCTTTGTCATTTAGTGTTTTATTCATGCAAAGTCTCTGTAGAGTTGCTATGATGCAGATTGCCACAAGAAAATATGTAGACTAAGAGAATTTTTTTAATTAATAGTTAAGACTATTTTTATGTACTTAATGAAAAATTGTAACTCCTTTTCATAACATATATTGTGAGATGTAATGTAATCCAGCCAGCCAGCCAGCCAGCCAGCCTTTCATTTGTTTTTGTTTGTTTTTTTTTCTTGTTTAAAGCAGGATAGTATGATACTGGATTCCTGAAATTAGCAAAAAATTGATGTAAACATGTGAAGGAACCCAGATTCTGCCGTTTAGAACAGTGTCTTTATAAAACTAACAAATTGAACCATTTAAATACATTTAAAAGACTCAAAAAAAAAACTTGAATTGCATAAAAGATCATAACCTACAACATACATTTTTTATTGCCTATTTGCTTTGAAGAGAAATCAAATTTGGAGTTGTATCAGCACTGCATCGGCACATAATGCTAAGTGTTGAAGAGAAACATTGGCATTTCTGTTTGTAAGTACCTTCCCTAAAACTGTTGCAGCACATGATGACAGTGAAACAGTTTATGCCTCATAGATCAGTGCACAGCCTTGCATCGGTAATCCCTTGAAAGCTCACAAAGCCCAGTTTATGACATAAATAGTCACAGAGCTGCAAAGTACAAATGTGTGTAGCTGCTGTGGTTCTAACGTGATGTTAGTTCCACTGTTGTGGGAGGCAGCCTCTGTCCATTGCCAGCACAGAGTAATGGATGGCAGAGTTATAGGAGTGGGAGGAGGCATACATCCTATACCAGACAGCTGTAATGGATGAGTTCACTGAAAACATAAGAAAATGAGGCAGTCTGCTGGAGCTTAGCATCTCAAACTCTCACAAACACACTTTGGGTGGTATTGAAATCAGCGAACAAATAGATGTGAATAGAACAATGAAACACCTGGAGAAACAGAAAAGGGTTGATGTTGTTTGAGAATTGTTTTCTCTTTATTGTGAATGAGCTGGATGCACACATAAATGCATTTGTTTGTACCTGCACATCTCTGAGATCTGTAAGCCCTTTCTTAGCTGTGTTATGCGTCTTGCCATTTGTGTGCCTTGCCTTTGTAGCTGTACATTCATCAGAGGGTTTGATGTTAGCAAATCAATGTTTATCCACCTCAGCAAGCCCTTCTCATTTTAACTAGGTTTTAATTAAACAAGACAAGCACAAAGAACACTTTCAGGCATCTATTTATCATTTGGGCCTCTAAGCATTGCAGCCCACCATCCCAATATTAAAACACCCTCCCTTATTCCTCCTCTTGTTCCTGTCCCCTTGCCCCTCATTCCCAGGGCCCCAGGAAACCTGGCTGACTTATTGAACATTTACAGTACAGCTCCTGAATAATGAGGCTTGCTTTAGTCAGTCCATTTGCAAGTCTGGGTGTAGAAGAGAAGAGTAGACCTTTGTAGATACAATACATTCTTATCAAACATTCAAACCAAGGAAGATTTAGTTGAAACTAAATTCTGTCAAACTCCGCCTGTTTAATTTTACTGCACTGGGAGGAAAACCTCTTGTCTCTAAAGTACTGTACAGGTTTTGATGCAAAATTTATTACACTCACCTCATGTCAGTATGCAGTTTAAACCAAACATTTACAAACATTATATACCTATTCTTTCAACATCTGTTACCCATCATAAACCCATTTCACTGCAAATGATGACATCTAAGTAAGTCATTTTTTTCTTTAAAAAGTGCTTTTTTCTTGAGTTGAGGAGGTAAGTGAGACACTTTGCCAATGGAACAAGACAATTTACATTTAAAAAAAGAAAAAAAACTATTGCATTTTCTAATTTCAACTGCATATTATCTATTTATCTTAGAGTAAAAATACAAATTCCATCATCTTATTTACCTACTCAAATTAAGAGTAAATACATTTAATTTAGGAGATTTGTACTTATGTTTAGATTGTTTTTGTAGCGTTACTGTTAAGACACAAGTTTGACTAAACCACAGTTTTAGGCCAACTTGCTTACATACACATTTTAAGAGGCGAGTCTTCACAAGCAGATTTTTGCTGAGTACAGCTATTATATACTTAAAAAACAACTATTTATTTTTTTTCTTTCCCCCCACTTTTGTTGTTCATATGACTTACTTATATTCTTCTTGGCTTGGTCCAGGTATGGATAAAAATGCTTTAGATATTCATGTGGGGAGTTTCTTATGTGCATGATGGGCTGGGATAAGCCAAGCAAGGACAATGGGTGTCTGAGGTTTACTGTTTGTTTTTTGTTTGTTTTTTTATCTGTAGAGGAAGATTAATATTAGAGATGGGAAGGAGACATTCTTACTTTTAAAACCTTGCTGAATGAGTATTCAAAATACCAGTCGAAACTTGCATTATTATGGTTCTAAAAGAAGAAGAAGATTACTGCTGTAATCTTAGTCAAAACAGGCACTGATTATCAGGGAGGCCAGGTCTTATTAAAACAATAATAAAAAAAATATATATGATTTTTATCATACTTCATATTTCTTTTACATTATCATTTGAGATAAATCTGTGTCTCTCTTTTTTCTTTTCTTTTTTTTATCAGATACAAAAATATTTGGTTGATAAAGAAATGTTTTATCCATATGTACTGATATGAATAATTTTTAGTACAATGATCCGTCACAGTGGTAACTGAGTCAATACCAGCAGAGTGTGCATACACTGTTGTGTTGATTTTTATTCTCGTCTTCATCTCTGTCCTCATCTGCATCTGTGTTAGAATCAGCTATGGCCTCTGGATCATCTGAGTCTATTTTGGCTCAAACATTTAAACTCTGTTAAGCGGATCTACTTAGCCTGTCTGATTTTTGTGGTATTCTACTCCATCGAAGCGGTAGTCTGCAGGGGAAAGTCAGCCCTGATGAAAATGCTTCGATATTCATGTCAGAATGTCTGAATTGTCAATGTCCATCAATGACCTCACTAAAGCTATTACGTTAACTTGAAACTTGCTCAAGTTTTGGCAAGTAACTTCAATGCCAATTCACAGCATGAATTAATTTATGTGTGTGTATATATATATATATATATATATATATAGATATATATATATATATATATATATATATATATATATATATATATAGATATATATATATATATATATATATATATATATATATATATATAGATATATATATATATATATATATAGATATATATAGATATAGATATATATGTATAAAAAGCTCCCTGATCAAGTCGTGGGGTCAAGATCATAAAACTAATAAAGGTCTGAGGTGGGGAGAAAACAGAAGAATGCACTGCAGCTGTGCTCCTCTTTCTCGGTGTGTGATGGTTTACTGCACTCACCTCTCCTTCTGGCTGCTGAAGAATGTCTCCTGGCCTCTTTGCCAGATACCAGGGGGTGTTATCAGTCCTGCCTTGCTCTTTCCACAGTAATGAGCCCCAAGACGTAGTATTATCTGTTTACGATAAGGATATTAATAACACTGCACTTCAGTTATGCTTTGGGCTCTTTTGCAGGGTGTATTTGTTAAGAGGTCTTTTAAAGCAGGACAAGATTTAGCCAGAATTGGGGTAATAAAATCAGCTATTGTTGTATTTGTTTTGTTCCTTTAAGTAGACACTCTTTCAGAAAGTCTTTAGATCTTCATTTATAATGTTCCATGTAAAAGTATACATCATAAACATGATGTATACATGATGTTATTAATTTTGGTATTTTGATTCAGTTTATATTTCCAGTTTACAATTATTATTTGGAAACAAGAACTGAGTACACAGCCATCAAAATACTCATTTCTAATACATGCAGGGTCAAAAAGTATAAATACATGATTTAGTTATATGCATATATCCTCCATTATTAATGGGGGCGGTAAGAAAAATAGCAACTTTTATTTGCAGAATTTTGTGTATGCAGTTATTATTTTTCCTTTTAAGCTTTGTTCACAGGTTTAATATCAGGACTTTGAGGAGAGCCTTTAATGCCAGCTACTTTATTAAATTGGGTGTCTAATACATCCTTACAAGGCAAACATAAAACTAACATTTATCCTAATAATGAATGTACTCATTTCTGACAACTTGATTTTACTTTGTTTAAACAATAATAACTTTACTAGGGCATGAACAGTCAAACTGAATAGCTGCAGATGTTGAAGCTTCTTAATCCCGATAAGGCACAGGCAGGGACAAACTTCTCTAGATCTTGTCTGTTTAATACCTTTACACAACATTGCTGCTGTGCTGCTGTGTTAGATGCTTTATAAATTTGATGTTGTATTTTTTCGTGGTTGAAAGCTTTCTGCTGTTGGTGCAAAGTTTATGAAAAGGACAGTAATGATTTTTGTAGCTTTGACAGAGACAGCCTAAGAATAATGACACAACCCAGCTTTTTGGTAGAAGCTGACTGTACCTGACAACACCTTCATCTATTACACATCATTGTGTCTTTGTGTAGCCAGAACCCAAAAATAAAAATTTTGTAAGATTCCACACATCTTCAGTTATAAGATCTGATTTGATTTCTTTTTTTTTTGGGGGGGGGGGGAAATAAAATCCTCTACAACAAGTTAAAGTACTATAATACAAATATGATAAAGGCTGGTTATAAGTTTAGGAATAAAAAGAAAAGATACAAGGTCAGAAGCAGAATACGAGGACATAAGTTCAAGAGTTCATAGTTTAAACTCACCCTTTGTCCACCTCAAGGTGATAGTCTTTGTTTTCAAGAACAATGGTTCTATTGGGAGATATGATATAGAAAGGAAAGGTTGTGGGTTCAAAAGTACCAGATGTCATGGTCAGATGAGAGGTCAAACCATTGCCTCTTTCTTCCTGTAATGCTGTTTCCTTTTTCGCTCTCTCTCCAGTGTCTGTATGGCTGCTACGTCCACTCCTCTATCATCCCCACATTCCACCGCAGGTGCTACTGGCTGCTCCAGGTAAGGACCCCTCTTTTTGTCCTCAACGGCTCACTCTGTTTTATTTAACTCCCAAACTCTCCTTTCCATCCACTAAAACCTGAATGAGTCACCGGATATCAGTTTCTATTAAGCCCAAGCGTTTACCTTTGACAGCCAGCAGGCAGACATCAACTTATTCCTCCTCCACCTCCCTCTTTCTTCCTTTCCTTTTCCCTCCCTGGCTTCCATTTCCCTTATCTTTCCCAGTCATTCACTTTTCTGATGGCATTGCCCATACAAGCCGTCCAGCAGGACGCTATCTCAGTCTGCTAAAAGCTCTGCCATCTCCCCTGCCTAACAGCTGCAGTGATGGGCAGTAAAAGCCTGATGGAAGAGCTTTCCCTGTACAGTACGGTGCGTTCCGTTGGTCGTCAAGTCTGCAGCCTGAAAGTGGTTGTAAATAGCAATCCTTTGATCCCCCCCAATACATCTCGTCATTCTCCTTTAGCATAGCAATCATTACAGTTAGGGAGTGTATGATAGAGCCACTGACACACAGTTTTAAGATTGTAAGCACACGCACCAAGAATAAGGGCTTATGAGGTCTTACTAACTTTAGATAACTTGCATAATTGTTCAAACTCCTTCAAACTCATTTTTTGGCATTAAAGTCAACTCCCTTTTAGTCTTATTGGGACGTTATGTGATGGACAAGCAAATGGGCTGCACATTGCACTGAATGGCAGTCATTATCACAATACCAGTGTGTACAAAGTCACAACAGAAACCCATTGCTTGAACGCAAAATGTTGTAGAGTATTATATTTCAAACACTAAAAAGTCAAGTTTCTACATGTTAGTAATTTTTTTGGTAGCTGGATTCACTGTTCCTTGAAATAAAACATAAGCAACATGTTCAGTCACTACTATACTACAAAATGTTTCACAAATGTATGCTTTCTCTTCCAGTTCACAGCTTTGCATCACATTAGCTCCGTCTTTCTAAACAAAATTTCTTTGGTTGTTATGTCAAAAGGTCAACCTGTCTGAATACTTCTGAAAAGTTTACACACTTATAGTCTAGTAACAGATCCTACAGAGGGCTAGATAAAGAAATACCCTTATTCATGGGATTGAGATAAATGTTCTGGATAAAGAATTGCTGGAAAAATAATGAATTTCAATATATTTGTTTCAGCAATTCATAAAAGATTCAGAGTACCAAGGGAAACTGCAAAACACAAGGGAGAAGACAAAAAAGCCTCCCAACAATGCTGAATAGTAGTGATTTTCTTGCCTTAGGGCAGCACTGCTTTAAAAAGGGACCTGATTTGTTGTGGAAATTATTGCACTGGATTAGAAACACAAGTTTTCACAGAAAAACGATTAGTCCCCACATTTACAAAATGCAAGGTAAGGCCACTATTTAGACTAAGTGAAGGGCATTTAATCGAAATATTATAATAGTATTTAAGTTATCTTAAAACAAAAACACACTTTTCCTTACATAGAGATTTTGTTGTAATTGGTGTTGTTTTCAGGTAGCTACAATAAGTGTTAGGCATGATTTACATTGATAAAATAAAAGGAAATATAAAATGCATCAATTTGTTTCAAATTTGTGGTAAATTTTAAAAATTTTCATTTTTTTTAACTGATTGGATATAATATTACTTTAAGGAAAAATTATAACACAAAGAATCTACATTATCCCTAAAAAATTATATATTTTTTCTCTTTTATGTCCTGTGTGTTCCCCTATCAAGCATTTGTATTTCAGTATGCAAATCTAATTATGTTGTTTTTTTTCTTTCTCTTTTGTGCATCCACTTGATTATAATTTTATTATATCAAAAAGTAATAAAGTTTTATTTATTGGACGGTGTGTTTAGAGTTATTAAGAAATGTTTCAAAGAAAAATCTTTTTTATTCTTTTAAATCTCTGTCTTCTTCCAGTCATGTCTTTGCCCCATACATTTGAATAGTATGTACTTTGATGTAGCATCTGTAACCCTTGAAATGTTTAAAATTTTTTCAAATTACAGCTTTAAACTCTAATGTTTGTAATGGTATTGGATTTTACAGATGCATTTCACTGAGACTGAATTACAGACAATCATTTGTTTACACCAAGGGCAAAAAGTTTGGTAGGATTTAATTCAGGAGTGTCCGAGAGTGACCAGAGCTAAAAGTAAATTGATGTCCAAGCTTTTAGATTGTGCATAAACAATTACTTCTTGATTATTTGGTTTGTATTAGTATAGCTCAAGAAATACCATTGAGACAATTGTTACAATTTTATTAAGTGTAAGTGCAAGTTAGTTCAAGGGACATACACTCACCGGCCACTTTATTAGGTACCCCATGCTAGTAATGGGTTGGACCCCCTTTTGCCTTCAGAACTGCCTCAATTCTTCCTGGCATAGATTCAACAAGGTGCTGGAAGCATTCCTCAGGGAGTTTGGTCCATATTGACATGATGGCATCACACAGTTGCCACAGATTTGTCGGCTGCACATCCATGATGCGAATCTCCCGTTCCACCACATCCCAAAGATGCTCTATTGGATTGAGATCTGGTGACTGTGGAGTTCATTTGAGTACAGTGAACTCATTGTCATGTTCAAGAAACCAGTCTGAGATGATTCCAGCTTTATGACATGGCGCATTATCCTGCTGAAAGTAGCCATCAGAAGTTGGGTACATTGTGGTCATAAAGGGATGGACATGGTCAGCAACAATACTCAGGTAGGCTGTGGCGTTGCAACGATGCTCAATTGGTACCAAGGGGCCCAAAGAGTGCCAAGAAAATATTCCCCACACCATGACACCACCACCACCAGCCTGAACCGTTGAAACAAGGCAGGATGGATCCATGCTTTCATGTTGTAGACGCCAAATTCTGACCCTACCATCCGAATGTCGCAGCAGAAATCGAGACTCATCAGACCAGGCAGCGTTTTTCCAATCTTCTATTGTCCGATTTCGATGAGCTTGTGCAAATTGTAGCCTCAGTTTCCTGTTCTTAGCTGAAAGGAGTGGCATCCGGTGTGGTCTTCTGCTGCTGTAGCCCATCTGCCTCAAAGTTCGACGTACTGTGCGTTCAGAGATGCTCTTCTGCCCACCTTGGTTGTAACGGGTGGTTATTTGAGTCACTGTTGCCCTTCTATCAGCTCGAACCAGTCTGGACATTCTCCTCTGACCTCTGGCATCAACAAGGCATTTCCGCCCACAGAACTGCCACTCACTGGATGTTTTTTCTTTTTCGGACCATTCTCTGTAAACCCTAGAGATGGTTGTGCGTGAAAATCCCAGTAGATCAGCAGTTTCTGAAATACTCAGACCAGCCCTTCTGGCACCAACAATCATGCCACGTTCAAAGTCACTCATATCACCTTTCTTCCCCATACTGTTGCTCGGTTTGAACTGCAGGAGATTGTCTTGACCATGTCTACATGCCTAAATGCACTGAGTTGCCACCATGTGATTGGCTGCTTAGAAATTAAGTGTTAACAAGCAGTTGGACAGGTGTACCTAATAAAGTGGCCGGTGAGTGTAAATGTGCTAGCGAAGCTCTTACACCCACCTCAATTGAAGTAATCCTTGTCTATTTTGCATACCCAAATGGAAAAGCAAATAAATGAGGAACTGTAAGTCCAAATTACCCAAGTAAAATATTATAATTAATTATTACCATTAGCCTTCTAGTTTCTGAAAATATAAAGAATTTTTTTTTATTATTAATAGGTCTTTTTTAATAAAGACATGCTTGAGAATAGCCATGTCTCATTGCATTACATTTGTTCTACATCATGTCAACCACAAATTCAGAAAATTTCAGACCTTTAGCTACAACAGTTCCAGAGCTGTGGGGCTTTTAACTTTTTGTGTCACCAGTGTCCCCAAATTTCAGCAAATTGTGCGAGCATTTTGATGGACACAAAACATTTATAAAGCAAGTATTGTTCCACTTTTTTCCAGAAACAGTGTATATAACAAAATGTAGAATTTATAAACCTGAAATAACTTAAAAATCTATTAAAAAATAGTGAGACTGGTGACTCTTTCATCATGAAAAAATATTATATTCTGGATTACTTTTAATCAGTGGATCTTGTGGACCCTGTGGGTTTTGAGAGATAAAAAAAAACATATCCAGATCTTAAAAACTAAACTTTCACACAACTGTTGTCCATTAATAAAAATGGTGCAAGGTTGTGCGATCAACATATTTTCATGGCTATCTTGGAAATAATATTTGTGAACCCATACAGAAAAAGTGTGGAAGCTTAGTAAAGAGCCAAGTACTGAGTAGTGAGTTTCTCTGTCCACTGGGACACTCAAACATAGAAAAAAACATATTCAAACCCAGTGCAATGAGTTTTGGGATCACTCAGGGTCATGTTACAATCTTCATTTCAGCACACATACACAATCACGTTTCTCCATCCTTGCTGACCCTTTCTTTTAACTTCCATTCATTTCTAATACATTTTTACTGCCTAACCGTGACCTTTACCCTAAATCTAACCATTACGGGTTCACACCAAATCCTAACCCCAACCTAAACTCAATTTACACAGTCCTGCACCTAAAACCTAACCCTAAAATAGCAGATGTACTGATGGGGACCAGGCATCGTTTCTCATTAGAATAGATGGTCCTCACGATGTGTTACGATTTATGGAAAATTGTCCCAAACAATGTCAAAGGAAACTGCCCACCCACAAATAATTGTTAAACTTTAAAATGGGCATTCACCTCGTTTGTCCTCTACCATGAAGGAGCATCAAATATAAAATGCTTAGGATATCCTTGGTCGTCACCAATCTTACAGCTCAGTGAATCTCCTGTTGAATCTCCCAAGGCTCTGAGCTGCTGCAGATGTGTAACTAAGACATACTTTCTTTTTTTTTTAAAAGCTGCCAAATACAATCTCATAAACAGGCCTTTTCTCACACATATCGCCTTTTATGAGAACTAGACTTACATTTTCTTGGACGTGATGAGTGTCAGACCATACAGCCTTGGAATAGAAA